TAGTATGAATTTTTAATCTTGAGTTTTATATATTTGACATCAGAAATATATTTTTTGATATTGAATAGTTTATATGAATTTCTTTTCTTCATGATTATTGAGCATGGTAATTGTGTGAATATGGTGGCTTATTTTATGCATTTGAAAGAAAAAAAATAGGCCCGACATAGTATAAATTGTCATAGGATCAAATAGGGGTTAGAGATATACCGCTATGCATTATATGATCTTTAAGTAGTCATAAAAATTAATGCATTCTTGTATGATCGCATCAATCATAGAGATATAGTCAGGTCATATACGAGAATAGATTTAACATTACTCAAGAAAGATTGTTAAATATATTAGGAACATTGATTTCTTCAATATACAATCGTGTTGTCAAAGTGTAAAACTAAGGTTAAAAATGATTATTACATGGAGATTCACGATTTTAGTGCGTTTGTTACTCATTAGAACACATCAACTTCTACTTAGCATAATCTACATTTGGATTAGTTAACTCATTCTTAGTTGCATACATAATTTATTTTAGTTATAATTTCATCACAACAATACATTGTGTTATTCTTGTTTCTGTTAAGGTCATGGTAGTAAAAGTTGAACTAAATCAATCCCTATGCGACTATACTTTGACTCATATCCACTTTATTACTTGTTAACGAACCGTACACTTATGATGATTTTAAATCGAGACACCTTTTCATGAACACTCATCCATCACACCATTCTACCTTAGCTCCCTCGATATACTTGATCACACAATTATTTTCGATCCGACCTTTCTGTGTGCGTATAGGTGTCAAAAAATGTAGAGCTATACTAAGAACCCGACAACAAAGGGAGCACAAATATGTTGCTCGTTTCCAGTTCAATCGTCCCTGTGAAAGGAGTGCAGTATAATTCATGATTTGCACATAGAATTTTTGTTTTGGTGAAAAGCTACGACACCACACTTCAAATCTAAGGGTAAAATTTCACATCGATTAAATATAAAACTAATAATTAAAATTATATGAATACTAGATTTGATGATAAGTTTATAATGCATAACATTTTGATGGCAACAAAATTACTTAAATTTACCCTGAAGGTTAATTAATGAGAGTCACGATATGCATCTTACTACACATGTTGCACGGGAGGTGAACGAATCTTTTACTTGCACCACTTAATTTCATTTATGAGCTTGTTTGGTTTAGATTTTAAGCCAATTAAAATAAATTTTTTGACCGTTATTTCACCATTTCAGTCATTATTTTTGAATTTTTTTCTCACATGTAGGATCCATTTGATCTCTAACAGTAAAAAATCAATTATCAAAATCCCTACCAAACAAGTACTATCAATTTCGCAAGCTTGGTAAAATATAATAAGAAACAACAAAATTTTAGTAAAAAAGGGCATTAAAAAATATAGATATAGACAATCACTCTTTAAAAGGTCATATATCTCCTAAATACACTCGATAAAATGAAAATAACATAAAAATTAGAAACAAGAAAAAGCAATGGAAACATGCCAACAATTGTTGACTCCTCGTTAGGATGCACATTTGATGCACTCTTAAAGCGGAAGCTAGCACTGCACATTTTTATTTTTTTCCTAAAAAAAAAAAATTCTAGAAAAGTTGCAACATTGGACCATATCATTTAGGACTAATTATACGTCTATATTAAACGTCATAGACAAACTTTCTTCCCAATCAACACAAATAAATCATTGAAAAACTATGAAAAAAAATCAAAAAAGTTATATTAAACAATATTTCTTGAAACGGTAACATATAATAAGAAACAACAAAATTTTAGTAAAAAAGGGCATTAAAAAATATAGATATAGACAATCACTCTTTAAAAGGTCATATATCTCCTAAATACACTCGATAAAATGAAAATAACATAAAAATTAGAAACAAGAAAAAGCAATGGAAACATGCCAACAATTGTTGACTCCTCGTTAGGATGCACATTTGATGCACTCTTAAAGCGGAAGCTAGCACTGCACATTTTTATTTTTTTCCTAAAAAAAAAAAATTCTAGAAAAGTTGCAACATTGGACCATATCATTTAGGACTAATTATACGTCTATATTAAACGTCATAGACAAACTTTCTTCCCAATCAACACAAATAAATCATTGAAAAACTATGAAAAAAAATCAAAAAAGTTATATTAAACAATATTTCTTGAAACGGTAACAACAACATTCCTTAGAAACCACCAAAACATAATAGAGTTAAGCCAAACTACCCGAGAGACCGCGCCCTCACATATCCCGTCATGGGTCCCCCATGAATAAAATAATCCCAACCCCTTATATATGTATTGTGTCAATCGCACGATCATCCATGCAAACACTGCCTAACATATATAATAATAAAAGTCACACTCATTGTGGGTGAAATTTATATACATATTGTGACTGAAATTTATATCAAGTGTGTAGAAAACAATATTAAACATCTCCCATCTCTAAATTCACACTTTCAAAAACCACTAGACACTCATCAATCGCACCAGTTTTCCATGTCCTCTCCACCCACAAACATATATATAATTGACAGCAAAAATTAGTAATAAAAAAGCCACTGAGAATCACTCTTTAAAAGGTTAAACGTCTCCTAAATACAATTTGGGAAAAGGAAAAGAATTGAAAACATAAAAACGCACGAGAATCCCAATCACTACTCAAGCACTAGAAATCTGGAAGCTAACACGTACATGAATATAAAACATGCAAGAGTCGATTATTCCCTCTACTTGTAACGTTTTTCATTTATTTTTTAGACATTCTTGAAAAAGTTTTAGCATTGAGCCATATCGTTATTGAGGATATAATTGTACATGTTGAGAGAAAAATACTATTAAACCACCCTCTCTATTCCCCATCTCTTTTAGTGTGACATTGATGCTTCAAGGTCGACGACACAATGGTACTAAGAAACCATTAAGATAATGATCATTAGAAATTCACAAATTAAAAATGAACAACTATGTGGATCGGTGGACTTGCCAATCTTGATCGTTTCAAAGGATGATGCTACCATATCTAGCCGTTCTTTATTTTCTTTCTCATTTTTGTCAACATACATCTTAAACATATATAGTTTGATAAATGGTAACAATCTAACCCGATAGGTACGTGCGTTAATATCACTTGTTAGAAATTGAATCAATTTGAAGACGAGATAGTGGACAAGATGAAAATGACAACATTCACGTGAAAAAAGCATATGCAGAGAATTCACTATAACAAAAGTAAGGAGTTACAATAAGTTATGTAGGATCTCACAAGACTCTATACTGGATATCTCTATTCGAGATTCTCTCTATAGTAAATATAAAGGTTGAATTCCAACCTTGAGAACTTCCACTGCCCCACCTCTAGAGCTTTGTGAGGGAGTTAAATATTTATATATGCATAGGTGTTAAGTAATGGAATGCAAAATTGGGCTCGAATGTTAGTAATTTCTATTTCCAGAATTTCACTTGAATTTTTGTTCAGTTAGTATTAATTTTGGAACTATATAAGGGAATTTGATTGACTTGTCGTTTGATTTTGTGAATACATAGCCCGTGTGGCAATTGGGGCTAGAAGGTGGGTCCGATCCGAGTTGTAAACAGAGAGGATTGACGAGCACGATTATATCTATTCATCCATGGCGAACTCCATGGATTTTGTTTATATCTTGACCAACGTCTTATAACATTAATTGATTTTTTATTTTTGTAAAATTTTGTATAAGGAGGTGATGTATGTTAAATTTCTATGAATCAAAACAATATTACTTTATTTTATAATGGAACTTTTGCGAGTCAATAAAAACTTTACTAGCGTGAATCATGAGACGACTAATGAACTTGACGAAAAAAAGTAGGATTCATGCGCTTCGAGAGTGCGAGACCACGAATACTTGGTTGGACAATACAGATTAATATAATTTGTCAGTTATATCATTAAGTATACTTCTTTTATTTTTGGTCTAAATGCATTTATTGAGCATTTATAAGTAGGGTCTTTGTTATTCTCCAAAAAATAAAAAAAGAAAAAGAAAGTAGGGTCTTAATTTGACGCCTTGATGGAAAAAGATAATAAGAAATAAAAAAATTTATCGAAAGCTAAAATCTATTGAAAATAGATAAATAGAAATTCACTCTATGAAAGATCACACAATAATGGGAAAAAGTAACACACGAGACATTTAAGGTGTTTGCCACTTTTATGCGAGAACACGTATTTCACGCACATAATAGTAAAACAGAAACTAATGGACAAGCATATAAAAGGTGCAAGGTCGATGATTCACACTATAATAAAATTTCCGTTTAAGTTTTTTAAATTATAATAAATACAATAAAATTGGTACTCAAGATCTCAACTTATTAATCAAGTAGCAAATTGATCTTCAATTTTTTGAAAAAATGAAGAAGTTGATCTTCAATCATCCTCCAAAGATGGTAAATGCCCATATCTCGTTAAATTAACACGTGATCATTTAAACACATCTCACTTTGATGTTTTAGACTCCCGTCCAAGTTTAGAAGTAAAATCTAACTTCTAAATGTTGAATGTGACAATTTACCATCATTAATGACTGATTCTGCAATAATAGTGAGAAATTGAATCGACTCGTTCATTTTTAAAGGTTAAAGACTAATTTATCGATCACACAATGATTTGGGGACCAATAATGCAATTTTCTCCAAAATTATTTTAATGTAAAACATATTTGAAAACGAAAGCTGACAAAATCGTCATTTTATCACCACCCATGAACCGCCCATTAACTGTCTAATAGGCACGCCTCGTTGGCGCGTAATAAACTAACAAGCAGACAAAAATAATCAAATAAAAAAAAATTCAATTAAAAGGCCGAAAAGGCCAAAAAAAAAAAATAATAATAATAAAAGAAAAAAACCTCCAAAAAATCACTTACTGAAAAGATCAAACAACTGCGTGTGAATTTATATATATGGAGTGTGTATATAGAAAAGTATTATTAAACCTCTCTCTTTCTCTCTCTAAAACACTCTCGACTCTCTCTCTAAAACCACCAGACACCATTTTTCCGCAGTACCTCCCCCGACACACTCGATCACTGACACTCCTCTCTCTTTCCTCTCCTTCTTTCTATCTCTATATCTATATATCAATATACTTACATAGTTTTGTGTATATTATTCACCTATATATATATTATACTAAAGGAGTGTGAATAGGTGTCATCAAATGGAGAGGTACAGTGGGAATCAGACAATGGAGGGGGAGCCGGCGGATCCGGTGGCGGAATGGGCCTCTCCTGGAGGCGAAACCGGGCTCGGAGGTTGGTATTTTCTCTCTGCATTTGAATTTCATATGAATTTCACTTGAATTTCGGTTCAATTAGCTTTGATTTTAGTAATGCAGAAGCGAATTTGATTGACCTGTGGTTTCATTTCGTAAAATGCAGAGCCCATGTGGCAGTTGGGGCTAGAAGTTGGGCCCGAATCCTACCCTGAGAGGCCTGACGAGCTCGATTGTATCCATTACTTGAGGACTGGTTTCTGTAGATATGGCGCTCGTTGCCGGTTCAATCATCCCCGAGACCGGAGTGCAGTAAAAAAAATTATTTTGTGCATAAAAATTCTATTTTTGGGTTCAATTTGGCTTTTCTTGCATGATTCTTGTGATCATGCGATTAAAGTATAGAACTGTGCTAAAGATGAGATGTTTATGATTTTTTTAGGTGAGGGTTTGTGTAGATTTGATTCTAATTTGGGTAGAAATCAAATTTTATTGGAATTTATAATTAATACGAGAAAAGAAGTGTATTAAACTGGGAAAAAACATTTAAATTTTGGAAGATCGCTCTGATTACTGGAAAATACTTCAAAACGTTGACATGCAAACAATACTTTTTGCTGTTATATTTGAAAATATTCAAAATTATTTATGATTGTGTGATTCTTATTACAGGCAATGGGAAATTTGAAGGCTAGCGGTGGCGAATACCCGGAGCGTGTTGGGCAACCAATCTGCCGGGTATACATTTGCATGCAAGTTCTTTTATGTTCTGAAATATATGTATATATCTGCCAGGCATATATAGATAGAAATAAACCATCACATAGATATGAATATATTCACATTAAATAAATGAATAATAAACAATTGCTAATGAACTATATAACTCTCTGAAGCTAATAATTGTTGATGTTATGGAAAATGTACTCCTATGATTTTGTTGGTTCAATTTTGGTTCTAGAAGGATTAATTTTTGTTGGTTGATTACATTCAATCCCCCCCCCCCCCTTGGGATCTGTGATAAGTAAGTTATTTTGTCTTTAAATCTGTTATTTTTCGTCCTTTCCCCCCTTGGAGATCTGTGATAGGTAATTTGGTGAATTTAATGTTTTTTTTTTCAATGTATTTATGTGTTGTTAACTAGAGTTTTAAAATAATTTCAGTCAAATTATTGATCTGAGAAAGTGCATCTTGCTAGATTTGGCTACTCAAGTATTTCGTCTGCTTACTGTCTTTTGTTTAAGAGATTGAGCTTCTTGTTGATCTTTGAGGTCAAACACTTTGTCTGCTTATTGTCTATATCATCCTTTTGCTGCTTCTGGATTTTGTTTAGAAAAGATAAGAGCTTTCTTATCGTAATTATGCCATTTTAATTGCTAAATACCTCTTCTCTTAATCATCCTTATTGCTGCATTTTTCATGGTCAATGTACAATGCCAAATTTAACATTATTTGCCAATGATAATTGGATATTGTGCTACTCTGTTTAGTACCTTCGGTCAGTTTTCAATTTTGGAGTATTTGACAACTCCTGGATCTTAAAATATCTTCAGTTGCTCTTTTTTTTATGTACACTTCGTCTGTATGTTATCATCTCAGATGAAAGACACAGCTTCCTGATTATCTTTGGCTTTATCTTTCCTTGGGTGACATGTATTGGATCACCATATGATTGTGTTCCCTACACGTGCCATGAAGTTATAAAATCTGATAATTCAATATTTTAAATTCATATTAAAGTAAGATCTCTATATGGTGATACTTTATATGGGAATAACCTCCATGTAGTCATTAAAAAGAAAAAAGGATCCCAATTTGGGCAAGTTATAAATAAGAATAAACTCCAGATTGTAATAAGTTAAAGAATTTTAGGTCCCATTTTAAGGAACTTGTCTCCACAAAGTAATAAATATCGATAGATAGCAAAAAATATGATACAATAAGCCTTTGATGGGAATTAAAATCAGATTTTGATAAAAGTTGATAAAATGTGTGCTTGAAAAGTTGTAAGTCCCATAAAATATGAAGTTAAAATTAATTGTTGGCTTTAACTTGAATTAAAATCTAGATTTTAATTTATACCAAACAGAGGCTAAATGTTTAAGATGAATTATTTAAAGTTGTTTGAGAAGGTTTAAGATGACTTTACATATTTTACATAGATACATGTACTAGATCTTGAAATTATGTCTCTCTCTTTTATCAATGTCCATACTTTAGATTTGACTTGCTCTTAATTAATTATTAATATAGCTCATACTTTACCTCTATACCTCTATACTTTTTGTAACTACACCTCTATTAAGCTATAACTTCCTCATAGTAATAAATTAGTATGCTCCCAACAATATGACTATAGAGAGGTTTTACTGTATCGGACATTTTGATTGGTATTCTGTTTTTCTTTTCTTCCCTATTTTTTGGTTTCAATACCTTCCTTTCATCTTAGAGATCAGAAAGTCTGTTAAATTCTTTGAGCTTCATGGTCGGCAGCTCAAAGTGAGGTCCGCTCCTTCGCTCCTGCCCCCCACCCGGGAGATTGAACCTTGGAAAAACGCAGTTGTGGGCTTTGTTCTTGGTGTCTCCCCTTCATTCCAGAATATGCTCAAGTTAGGATCAGTTTGGAAGAGTGATTATTTTTTAATGTGCATTAGGACTCATTTTGTTATTTTTAGTTTGGACCTATATTACAATGACAAAACATTCACAAATTTTTGATTACATCATCCACGCAACTGTCTTTTTCGTGATTACTCTACACGAAAAGGTTGTTATCTGATATTTTATATTCATTTTAGAAGTCTGACTTCTTTGGGAGCCTACATGGATCCACTTAACAATTTAGAGCTCAAATGACCTTAACAATGTGAGAAAAATTGGTGGTGCTATTCGTTTTGAACAAATATTACCATGATAATCAGTCTGCTTTGACAATGAACGTTTGTCAAGTGCTTGCAATAAGCCATTATACTGCATAACTCAGTACAATGTTATTGCATTTATCCATCCTATATTAGTAAAATAAGCCGTCTGCCCTAAATGTTGAGTTTGAATTTGTCTTATTTTGAATTCAGTATCTTATTTATATTAGTTATGCCTTTTCCTAATTGTACTTTTTGCACTGAATTTGTAGTACTATATGAGAACGGGAATGTGTAAATTTGGTGCTTCCTGCAAGTATCACCATCCAAAACAGGGAATTGGACTTTCAGGCCCAGTGGCCCTGAGTATCTCTGGATATCCATTGCGACCGGTCTGCCGCTTTGACAATTTTGGTTTTTCATTCTTTTCTTTTGCATCATTCATTTAGATATGAAATATGCAGTTGTCTTATGGAACACTTGTTGCAGGGTGAAAAAGAATGTTCGTATTATGTTAAAACAGGACAATGCAAGTTTGGGGCCACCTGTAAATATCATCATCCTCTGCCAGCTGGAATGCAGGTTCCTGCACCAGCAACTGGCCCTGGACCAGCAGCTGTACCTGCTCCTGCACCCGCAACGTATCCTGCAATGCAATCATTTTCTATACAAACTCCCCAGCATTATGGAGTGTTTTCTGGCAACTGGCCAGTTGCTAGGCCAGCAATGCTTCCGGGTTCATATGTCCCAGGAACATATAGTCCAATGCTCCTTCCTCCCGGGGTCGTTCCTGTTCCTGGTTGGACTCCTTACCAGGTATGTGTTGCTGAAGCTTTTTGTTTGATTTCGTAATCTTTTATTTTGACATGTTTGATAGGTTGGACTAGGCAGTATTGGGTAGTAATTAAATTTAAAATCTTATCAATTATCATTCCTTTGTATGTCCTATTTTGTGCTGAGTTATAAAATTACATGGTGTAGATACCAGCTAGTCCTGTGGCTTCCCCAAGATCTCAACCTACTGCTGGAGCAGGCATAGTTTACAGTTTAACACAGTTATCTCCTTCATCAGCTGCATACACAGGACCATATCTATCCATTACCTCTTCTGCCGGTCCTTCAGGCAGCAGTCAGAAGGAGCAAGCATTTCCAGAAAGACCTGGCCAGCCAGAATGCCAATATTATTTGAAGACAGGGGATTGTAAATTTGGGTCTACATGTAAATATCATCATCCACCAGAGTGGAGTGCACCGAAGATAAATTTTGGGCTTAGTCCTATGGGTCTGCCCTTGCGCCCGGTAAGCTTTTGGTTTTCTGTTTATATATAATATATATGTTTTGGGATGATTTCTTTTATTTATTTTCATGAACTTTATTAAATATTGATTTTATTTATTTATTTATTTTTATGGTGTGTAAGTGGAGAGTTTCTGTATATGTGCTTTTTTCTGGTTGAATTGTTGATCTAATTGAAAATACTGCTCCAGGAAAAGGATAACTGAGAGAAATTTGACGCTTAATGTAATTTTTCGGGATGGAATGATATTGAACATTTGGCTGTGTTGCCAATTTCTGTTCTATTACTGATTTAACTAATTTTTCTTTTTCAATTAAAATTCTGTTTATAAATATTATGACGGTGTGCATTTTCTTATATCATGATTTCCCTTGGGGCATCACATCTGTTTGTCCCCTTAAAAATTTAAACACTCTTAAGTCCGTCATCTTCGTGTAGTTGCTCCTTTATTTTGATAAGTGAACATTTTCCTGGAGCCGTATCTCATTAATTCTGTTTTCAGGCCAACAAAACTGGAAGTTTTATATTTAAAATTTGCAGATGAAATGAATGGTTGTCTAAGTTGGGCCATTTTCTGTACCCTGCTTATCTTTCTTTATTTTAGTTGATGATATCTGCAAAAGTAGATTGCAATTTTCTGATTTACATTAGCTATAAAATTGAACTGAATGACTAACGTTCTCCCTATAATGTTGCTGCATGTCTTGATAGTTTCCTTGTTTTATGCGTCCTTTTTGGTGTAGAAACCTCATAAATACCTCATTCACTCTCCCTTGTTACTCCTTTGCACTTAATTTTCTCGGTCATTTCTTTTCTTTTCATAAATGCTTCTTTTGTAGTATTCAATTATAGAAGTCTAACGATTCATTTCTGCTGTGTTCTTGGATGTTTCATATATTTGAGAACTATGTCATATCTTTATTAAGTTTTCTTCATTTATTTTTCAGGGTGCACCACTTTGCTCTCATTATGCACAAAATGGGGTATGCAAATTCGGGCCGTCATGCAAATTTGATCATCCAATGAGAACATTGAGTTACAGTCCATCTGCGTCCTCTCTTACTGATATGCCTGTCGCTCCCTATCCTGTGGGATCCACACATGCGACTTTGGCTCCTTCATCCTCGTCATCAGACTTGCGGCCCGACCTCATTTCTGGATTTGGCAGAGACACCTTCTCAACCCAAATGTCTTCTATGAACAGTTCAAGTGCTTCAGTTGGTTCAGTATTCTCACAAAGTGGGCACATTCCTCAATCCAGGGGTCAGCAGTTGGGTCAGGGTTCTACCTTTTCAAGTGCCAGCAGCAGCAGCATCGGTCATGGAGGTGAGATTCGCACATCAAGCTGAATAAAAGGATTCAGCCCTTTCATTCTCTGTTAATCAACTTTCTCGGTCTCAAAGTCATATTTTTGGTCCAAATTCTCTATAGGATGCTCAGTCTTAGTTCAATGTAGCATACTTTAGCTGTGTCCATTGAATAAGCCATAATTACCCCTCAAAATCTGGCAACACCTCATTAGCTTTTTCACCTACTCTTTGAATAACTTGAAATGAAACCAACTTCCTGTTTGGATGAATTTCATCATTGCCCAAATTTTTGGAGTTGTCATGTCTATTTATTGTCTTTTTCAGAACGAAAAATATATAATTCTCACCGTTCTCTGCCCACTGTGTTTGTCTCGATACCCATCTTCTTGTTCCCTCTTTCGGAACAAGCTTCAAAATTGTCTAGGGAATGAATTCAAGATCTTCTTGATCCCTTATTTTGTCTGGTCCTTTGTTGCGGAAGCAATGAATCTGGAGACTGCAAGGAATTGAATACATCATATGTAAGATATATACTTGAGTAGTGAAACGAATTGCTTGAATTTTTCTTTATATTTTATCAACCAATACAGACAAGAAAATCTTGAATTGGGTAAGTATTGCTCTTTGTTGTGTTTGTTTTTGTTAAAGATGGTGATGCTTCTTAAAGACCTGGTGATTGTCATCTAAAGAATGCTCGAATGCCTTCTTGATGACGGGAAAATCTTGAATTTGTTTTTTGCACTGCATTGATAAAGCTTGAAGTAGAAAAGTGGTGTAGGGAGTAGTATGGTTTTGTTTTCACCTTTCTTATGTTAGTTATCGTGCTAGGTTGAAGCGGTTAGTTTACTGGATTCAAATCTTTCTTATACCTGTTAAACGTTGAGTAGAAGTACCATGCTTCAATATTAGGTAAATTAGTATTAGTTCTACCAATTTTGGCTAGTTGAAGAACCCCTTTTTTGGTTGCAATTATAATAAGATAATGTCATTGCAAATAGGGGCGGAGCCAGGATTTTAGTTCAGTGCGGGCAAAATTTTTTTGACGACAAATGTCGAGGTTTTGGTCAGGGATTTAATGACAATAAAAAAATAAAACAATAGTACATCAATACTAAAAACGACATAATTTATATATTACACTTGTTCTTTGCGAGTTTTCATACTTTGATATCATT